TTTTTTTTAAACATTTATCAGCTTTGACTTTTTTAATTCTAATTTTAATGTTTTTCAGTCACCATGGCTACAACAGGAGACAAGATTTTAGATGCTGCTTTGTCAAAGGTAAATACTTGGTAAATGTAGTAAATTGATTATCAGGACCCCGATCATGGATCAGTTGCATTGTAGTTATGGAATGAGGAGAATTGTAATTATATTATCTCGGAAAGGCAAACTTTTTCCACAGGCCGAAGGACCAGGGAATTAGTCTGTCCTAAAGTGACAAAATAAATATTTTATGGTGGTTGTGTGCCCAGTATGAAATTGTTGTATTAGACCCATGCATGCAAACAAAACCTGTAGATTATTTAATTGTGTTCAGTATACCTTCATCATCATTTCTGTTTCTACATTGGTAAACGTGTTTGCCTCAGTAAATTACAATTTTTGTTATTACGTGAAATTTATCATATTTAAATAATGGCTTTAATTTACACCTGATATTACAGTATTTACAAGTATGTGCAAAACTTGCATATACTTCACAAGTTCATAAAAAAATTAAATATCCGGAAATTGTATCGGTGTTTTACTTATCAGATTGGAGAGAAGAGTCTATTCACACGGGAGCTGGAGAATGCTCTGGAGGATAAATCTGTGGACTTTGTGGTGCATTCTCTCAAGGACCTGCCTACCAATCTTCCAAAAAATCTAGTGGTTGGATGTGTATACAAGTAATGTTTAATTTTTAATTAGCATGTTTCTATGAACAAGTATGAATATACTTTAGGTTGTCCTTTGACTGCAAAGATGTGGATAAAATAATATACACAGCATAGGTTTCGTGTAAACCAAAACTTTTTAGAAAATACAATTTGACATCTTGTTTATTTATTCTTCTCCAAACAAAAATCCAATAATTTAGTGTTGTAAGAAATATAAATGAATACTGATACAGGTATTAAATCTCTATTAATTCAGCTCTTTGCCGGTGTACGATCAGGTCACCAAACTTTTAAGAAGTTAGAGGGGGAGGTCAAGAAAAGTTTCAATTTGTTCAAGGTCAAGAAAGTCAATATGTTATGGTTTGTGAATCCAAATTTTCTGTCAGAAGGGGAACAAAGTTGCTTTGACTAGGCTAGCTTAATAGCAGTTTTAACACACTGTGTTCCAGGAGAGACAATCCCTATGATGCTGTAGTGATGCACCCAAAACACAAAGGGAAGACTCTTAAGGACCTACCAGATGGAAGGTATGTGATTTCTGTTTGATTTATTGATTCAGAACCACATACTGTTAAAATATCTTTTCTTTACAGCTATGTATCAATGAGCTCTATTGAATTGTAAAAAAAACAAACATGATTGTATTGTACAGTCCTTGTTTATCTGTTGCAGTGTTATTGGAACCAGCTCCCTAAGGAGGCAGTCGCAGATCTCTAGAAAATTCCCGACGTTTAAGTTTGAGAACATTGTATCCTTTTGGGGGACGTGGAAACACAATTACAGTGACTAAAGCTATTTATGATTCAAAAGATTGTATGTCATTCTTGTTACGAGGTATACCAGGTACATGACATTTCTTTTTTTCCCAAATCCTCATTGGTAAGTGATATTGACTCTGTGTTACCTATTTTTTACTACATTTTGTAGGTTAATATTGTTTTTATGACGTCATTTCCATGATGATGTCAAAATGCTCCCCGTCAAATGCAGTATGTTTCTCCTTACGATTTTCATACATTATATTAAGTTTAATGATAACGACGGTTAATATCACTTTCTAAGGTTCACATAAACACATGTTCACCTCAACAAAAGTCCATAATTGATAAATATCATTCAATTATAGCCTTTGGCTGAGGTCAATACCTGGATTTATCGA